AACCCTGGGAAACGGTGCAACGATATGACGTAGCATTACTGTTCATGCATGTGTAATCATCCATGACTGTCCATCCATGATTGTCCATGAAACTCAGAAGTGTAATCATTCACAGTGTCATGGAGGACTCATGAAACAAGTTCATGACTCATGTCATGGTTGGAATGACCATGTGATGTCATGTTGAGTCTACATGCATTGTCAACCCTCTCAGCTCAGAGTCCACGCCTATACCATCAAAATGATGTTCATAGAGTTGGCATGGCCTAGGCGTGACAGTTTCATGCAACATGGCTAGACATACTCTCCGGAGTGTATGTGGTGGGTGGAATGGTCATAAACTTCTGTTGCATGGTAAACAGCTGTTTATTTTTTATCTCATATATCACTCTGTATATGTGACTCTCACTGAAGAGAACTGATCTCAAGGACCACACCAAAGCCTCTGTGCTGGTCAATGGCCTGGGCCGGGAAGTGAGGAACACGTTTGACTTGATGGCAAGGTCATTGATGAGCTTGAGGTTTTAAAGATTGTTGTGGCCAACCCAAGTGTGACCCTGAACCACATGCGTTCACTTCCCAGTGTCTTGCAATTCCATGAAATGAAACCTTCACGATGCGAGTAACACATTTGACTTGATCTGAAGTCCCACACCACATCAAGATGTGAAGAGCTTACCCATTCATGGAGCCTGAGCTGAAACCATGGACCGTGTATGAACTGAATGCTTGCGATGCATGAGTCATACATTGAGGACATCACCATCATCCTGCTGGTTCTCCATAGGTGGTCCATCACCAGGGCTGCCCAACGTGTTCGACCTTGAAATCATGTCAGTTGACAATAGTGCAAAACGATGGACGCGCAACTACGCTGAGATCAGCGCAGTCCCCGTGCCAGAAACCAGGACTCAGCAACAATGGGCAATGACATGAAGTGTGACAAACATGTCATGGACACTTGATGTCATGAAGCTTCCAATGAGTCTGCTACTGCTTCCACTGATGTTTGAAGTGTTGCATCAACACCTCCTCGCCCGCGAGTGCGTGGTCGCTCTCGTCCGGATCCAGGCCTCAAGAGAAGAATGAATGAAAAACAAACCAGAAGCTATATGCATGACTATGCATGTCTCACCACAGGTCCCGACGGCCACCACTGACCTTGATGGTCCCAGAAGCCCTGCACCGCGACACCTGAAGGACATGAGTATATACATGTTGCATGACACATGGCGTGACGATATGAATTACCTCAGCTCCTAACCATGCGGCGTGGCTCTTGCCCATGGTGCCTTTGGTGGCATCATCGTAGGCATCATCTGGGGCTGCATCTGGGGCTGGATCTGGGGCGGCATCTGGGGCTGCATCTGCATCTGGGGATGCATCTGCATGTGGGGCTGCATCTGCATCTGGGGCTGCATCTGCATCTGGGGCGGCATCATCACCATCATGTAAGGGCCTGGTGGCTGGCACATCATCTGCATTGGCATGGGTCCCATGTGCCCTGCCGGCCCTGCCATCGGACGCGCCACTGGCTGTGGCGGTCGTGGAAATGGCGGAGGAGGCGGCGCCGGGGCTCGAGGGGGTGGAGGAGGCGGCGCCGGGGCTCGAGGGGGTGGCCTTTGCTTTGCCGGTGCCACTGCCGGAGGCGGCTGGTTGATGATCGCGAAGGAATCGCGAGCATCTGCATGCTCCTTGCCATGAATGCTTTAGAAACATGACATGTATATGAGACATGAACACATGGAGCGCATGAGACATGAGGCCATGAAGTGCACATGACGTGAAGGTGATTGCATGCAGTCTCAAGCCACCTCATCTTCAGCTTCGTCAGCCACTTTCACCTGGCAACGGTGCTGGCTTGATATCATGTTGTATATCACTCCTTAGAAGAAAGGACTATAAGAACACATTGAAACACCTCCTCTTCTTCGTCAGCTGCAGATCTGCCATGATCCTGGTATTGACTATATACATTGATAATGGTTTCACTATATATATATATATACATTGATAATGGTTTCACGTCTGACTCCCCCTTTGATGATTGTGCGATGCACACTCACGGAACGTCCTCCACATCTCGTCTTCTGGATGATGCAGCCGTGGATGATTCGGATGTCTGGCCTGCCAATGAATATATGTTCAATGCTGTTCATGCATCATTTCATGTCTTGTGCAAATACAAGGAACGCATGCCTCATCGTCCTTCCAGATGTCAGCCGCCTGATAAACATATAGCATGCATGTGTGCAATGGTTGAGTGGTTAGGGACATGTCGTCGTCGATGTATTGCATATAACCTGCCTTGCTCTTGGCTCTCAAAGTCTTTGGCTTTGGAGCACCCTCTCCATCATCAGCAGGAGCCTGACAGGCAAAGGCATGACATTCCAGCATCGTGTACGTGGTGTCTTCTGCACCTTGCGCTTGCGTCCTAGCGCTGGTCGAGGATCTCGGTCAAATAGAGGACCTTTCGATCCCTTTGCCTTTGCCTTCGACGTAACTAGCACGCAAACAAAATATATATGTCCTTTTTGAATGCTGTCGAATGTGTTTACGGCCTGGTCCACCGGCATGGACTTCTTCTTCGGAGGATTCTTGGGAGGCGTCTTTGGCGGTGGAACCTTATGGGGATAAGGGATTGCGTGAGGTGTGCATTGGACATGTCAAGTTTCATTTGCATCCACCAAGGTTGCAACTGCCTTTGCTTTGCCAGGCGGAGCCTTATAGCAAACACGTGAAAATAGATTGCATGGGTGGATATAGACTGTCAAAAAGGTCCCAACTTCATCAGAGCTTTCACCGTCATCCTCCTGGCGTCATGATTTAGGTACAAGATATCCATTTCATGACTTCTAGAGTGCATGGATCCAACATCACATGTGACTTCATGACGGTCACCTGAAGCGTCACCTCCAGCGTGGATTCGACCCAGGTGTGGCCGAGTCTTCGTTCCCATCCTGCGCATACTTCCACAACCATGCAATGTCATAACGCCCACGCATGATGTAATGTCAAGTCTCATGCAAGAATGGCGAACATGGTGATCCATGACAACGGGGTTCGATATAACCTGTAGAAGGATCCTCTATACACAGCTGGGTAATGCTCAAATGATCCACTCCTCTGTGCGGCGGATCGTGCGACCTCTCCAAGTTTCTGAACCAGGCGTCACCTGCGCCCAGGACACATGTCCACACGTTCATCGTTTATCACGTTTTATCGACTCATGTCTTACATGTCATGAATCATGAACTCCGCCTTCAGAATCTTGGATCCTCCATGCCTTCTTGGAGTTCCAACTCAAAGTCGTGCCCTCCATGTTGGCGAAGCCCTGCACGCGGCGATTCAAATACTCTAAGATACATGTAACGGAGTAACGCATGCCATGTATGTTTAGTGAAAGGCTCAACCCCATGAGCTGCAATGAACATGTGATATGTACAGCCCAAATAGATATATCATGTTCATGTTTCATGATTCTTCATGTTTTGACTGGGTGCCTCTTCCGAGGTCCCCATGAGGCCATCGGCCAGCTCCAAGATCTCGAAGATCTCCATTTCATCATCCTGTGATGCCAACTCTTGAATACATATAACCGTCCATCTCTGGAATATTATATATTGTCAACTCATACTGCAGTTTCTTTGAGCAGACCTTGAACTCAGAATATGTATACACATGCAAACTAAATGCAATTATGTTCAGGTCCTCCACCTCCGAAGATGGAGGGATGAGGAACAGCGCCCGGCCCACCGCCGCGCGTCGCGGCATCTTGAGCCCAAGATGCCTCCCTGTGTAACGAGTCACAGTAAGTCGACCTGCCGAGGAAGAAAGGAAGTAGACGGATGGTTGCTGGGACCTTCAGACTTAGAGACCTCTAGGTACTGACATCACCCATACAGTACAACAATATAGCAAAATATATAGCATATATATGCACTCCGTGAAAACATGTAAACATATTCATGAAACATACAAGGCGTCCGTGAAAACATGTAGAGCTGCAGCGCTATGTCGATTTTTGTGTCTGACCCCTTCGACACACACGTCAAACATATCCACATGACTTCATGACTCGTTTGCATGGGAGCCCCCGTCAGATTCAGCCTCAGAAGACATCTCACGAGACTTGCGCTTCGTGGCCTTGGGCTTGGGCTGACTGCTCATGATTGCACACCGCAAATATTGGAGGTTCTCGGCAGTCAGCTCCACCCACAGCAAAGACGAGCCAATATTCTCGTTGAGAACACGCATCTGGAGCGGCCCGCTACGCGTCACCTCTTCATCCAGGTGGTACTCAATGGCCGGGAGGTCGACCACAATGAAGGGCAAATGTGACTGGTTGGCAGCTCTCTTCAATGCCTGATTGGTGAGTTTCCTTGACTTTTTCACCGAGTTCTCATCCTCCCAGAGATCATTGATGGCTGCCTCAATGGCTTCCAGACACTTCTGCTTCAACTCTGAGAAGAAGATGACATCCATGGGCTGTCCATCACGCTTGCCCTTCCTCAGGTCCAACGCCTTCTCCGTCACAAAGCGTGTGAAACCACGGTCCCATTTGCCAAGTTGAAACCAGTCTCTCTCGTGCTCACGCTTTTGGACAGGCTGCCACGTGAAGCTGCCAATGCACACATGCCATTTCTGGTGCATGGTGAACTCCTTCATTGCCATGTTTGGTGAAAGATGTTGATGACACCGATACTCAAAACTATACGGGTTTGATCCATGAATATGTCAAGACATGTCATCTCATGTTCAAAGGTGTTGACCACATGCAAAGACTCTTCCAAGCTGTCAGCTCAGTGGTAGACAGTTACCGCATACACAGTCATGAACTCGTGATACCTTCACAATTGTGTCCTATATATGTTGCTCATGGAAAAGTGTCATGCAACGAGAACAGGTCTGTCTCGCATGGCCTATCTCTCACTAAAGCTTTTGGCGCTCACCGTGCCGTCAAACGCTATCCATGAATAGAACTTGATCCATCGATCTATCTACCTCCGTTGCCTCTTGTTTGGCTTCTCTTCAGCTCGAGACTCTTTGGACTCCTTAGCAATCATCAACTCCTCACCTGGCTGAAGGATCCTGATGTTCCGCATGCATGGAAACTGAAAGGCTTTGTTCTTGCCGCTCATATAGAAGATCTCCATGTTCACATTCGGGTTTGGCAAATGTCCACTCTTCACAAACCAAAACGAAGCCACAAATCGCCCATCCTCATCGTTCTCATCCGGAAGGGCTGTGTGAGGAGACAACCAAATAGTCACCTCTGGCATCATGGTTTGGAGCACTTCATAGGTCTCCTTCTTGTCATGCTTGTGCTTGGCCTGGATCTTGACAGTAGATGGCACAAGGATCAGCTTCCTACTCAAAATCTTCTCCTTTGCCACCAGTGCCTTCGACGGCTTTGTTTGGACCTGCAACTTCTGCGTGTGCATCTTCTCAACATGAGATTCGGATAGGTCAAAGAGCTCTCCCATGATCATGGCCTTCAAGCGGTGCACTTGAAACTCAAGTGACTTGTGTGGCAGCCATTCTTCTTCGAAGTCCAAAGCAGAAGGCAAACTCTTTGGAGTGAAATGCTGCCACATGCCGGCTTCAAACTCAGACAAAGGCACCTTGCTCAATAGGCCTTTGCCACAATCAATCTTGACAGTCTCATGGGTGATCTCCGTGATGATGCCTACAAGCTTGTCTTTCACTCGTCTGCATGACTGCCCTACAGCCCAACCAGCTTCTTTCACCAACACTGAAGGATCCATGAGCTGACCGTCTTCTCCAAGCTCACGGAGGCTCATCGTCGGCCCCTTGGAGCTGGAAGGTACCTGGATATATGATATTATATATATAACATGCATGACATGCATGAACATGAACACATGTTTGACACATCAATGAGAAAATCACGCCACCAGACAAGTTACCGACTCCAAAGCATTTTCCAAATCCTCCGCTGACCATCGATTTGGAATCTCATGGCCAGTCAAGGTTGTGAGAAGCTTGATGACGTCGTTCGCAATGGCATCGGTGCTCTTGTACACCTTTTGGTCTGGCTGCTTGAGGCCAAGGACAAATTGGACAACGGCCATCTCAAAAAATCCGATTGCCGTGCAGCACTTCTGGTCACACAAATAGGAGTCTCCAAACTGCTTGAGGAGCAACCTGACCTCCAACATGAGGTCATTGGCTTCTGCCACCCTCCGCACCATGTCCTTGCTGAATGACCTCTTCACATCCAATGCTTTCACCCCGTGGAAGTAGCCCTGCTTCAAAATGGCGTGTCGCCATCTCACAAGGGAGTTGGTGGCAATCTTGGACTCCTCAACCAGTGCCTTCCACAAAGGAGCACCCAGCTGAGTTGACTTGGCGTTTGTCATCACGAACTGCTGGGTTTCTTGCATCATGTTTGCCTTGGCGCCTCCTGAGTACCTCATGACAAAGGTCCACATGTCTGACAAGCTTTCAGCAAAAGCTGGCTTGCTTGCCAACGCCCGCCGCTTCACATCTTCGAGATTCACCCTTTCCCCTTTTGATGTGCGCTCAACGCACATGGAGTGCAGCCGCTGCAACATTTGCATCTCGCTCTCCCCGCGGTTGAGGGAAGTATTTCCAACCTGTTGCAAGATCTCTGGTAATCGTGGAAACTGCAATGCGATCCACGAGGGAATGATCTCCCAGACCACCCCCTCCTGCGCAGCCTGGAAGAAAGCCGTGTCGGCAAGACGAAGAGCGTCTTGGCTCAGCCTGCCGTTGACAGTGACCTGCTGGTTCTGGCTGTGTTCAACTGAGTCCACAAAGAGCCGGAGGACGAAGTTGGTGTGTGAGCCGCACACAGACAAATACCTCATCTGTGCCACATCGGCAACTCCTAGCTGGCCACCCGCAGACTCGATCAGCTTTCGGTTGAACTCCAACTCTTCGGGGCCTGTCACCTCAAAGGCCAAAGCACTGACCAAGCTCGGGACAAACCCTGTGTCGAGAATGTCTGCCAGCAAGGAATGTACCTCGCGCACCGCTACCCCAACTCCATCTCGATTGCGCGGATGCACCCCAACCATCTTTGGCGTCAGGCGAAGCTGGAGCAACACTTGCTCCTTCCTCAACAAGGTCAAGATGCCTTCTGCTGACTTGACCATGGAAGTTCCAGAAAGAGCCCTGTCAATCAGCACGTTGATGGTGGATGTCACTCCCTCTGGCAAGCTGCGCACGCCCTCCATCTTCTCCATCTGTCAGGATGAGATCTCGGTGAGGAAACGCGTGATCACTCAGAGCCAGCTATATAGCAGCATGAAGTTGACATGAAATGTGCACATGCATGATCATGCAACACAAGCAACGAGTGAACAAAATGAACATGAAACACAACTCATTCCGAAGAAACTCATGGGTACATGTCACTCCGCTGCGCAAGAATCTCCCAAGACTGCAAGACACTTCAAGGTAGCTCTGCACAAACACTGTATATAATGATTTGGCATGGCATGACATGACACTGCGTTGCATGACATGACACTGCATGGTATGACATGACATTGCATTGCATGAAAGCATTACATTGCATGTGAAAGACGCAATGAAACCGTCAATCCCGCTGCGAGCATATAGCCCTGCAGCGTGTGTAAGATTATAGTAACTACAACTGTAATACTTAATAAGTAGGACAGTAAGAATACATACTAAGTCCAGCAACCGAAGATAGATAAGTAGCACAAGTACAACATTAAGTCTGCTAACTACTTAGTAATCCTTGTAACTACATAGTAAGCACTACGCCCATGTAAGTATACTTAATTACTTTATATCATCTACTGTACTATATATGAGCGCAACCTCTCTCTCTATATTATATATCAGAAGTCATTCTATCCAGAAGTGGCTTCAAAAAGCTGTCTTCACTTAGAACAAAGGCCTAGAATGGTTTGTCAAGCGGTGAAACGTCAAGGGACGAAACAACAAGCAGCAGGAAACTACTTCAAACAAGCAGACAGTTTGATTAGATTATCCAGGTGTGGGATTTTGTGCTTTGCTGCGAGTCTGAGGCCTTCTCCGCATTGCCCTCCCGGCTGACAATGGACCCGGACGGTGGCATGGGATACTGGGCATTTTCAACTTCAGTACATTGTTTCACTGTGTTACTGTCACATTAGTTGATGCACGGGGCTAAAGGATCCGCCAGTTGAAGCCAGCACAAGAAGAAAAGAACCTTTTGACAAGCAAGTGTTATATTATATTGTAGCGAAAGCCCCTTTGCCGCGCGTCATTCAGGAGTGTGCCAGTCACACAGCAGATCATCGCAGTACTTTTGTCATTGCTTGGAACCACTGTTGTGTCTGCAACTGTACTCTACTCGTTTGAGAACCACTACAACGGTGTGGAAGATCCAGACTCTTGTTCGCAGATGATATGGACACCAGTTGATCAGTGCCTTAGGAGAAGCAGGTGGAAGTTCACGAACTTGCGTTGCGCACTTGCTTGATTTGATGGGTTGTGCAAAGTACAGCCCATCAAACCTCTAAGCTAAGGAGCGCAGCTTTGAAGATGCCTTGATTTACATGGTGAATATTTTCGCTGGACGTGATCCGCCTTGGCACCAAAAGTGCAAGAAGACTGTCGGGTTAACAGAGCTGGCTAAGAAGACAGTCAGGTCGTAGGTCTAGGAGCCGAATCAATCTAGGAACCAACTGACTAGTGCAACATATATACATACAGTGCGTGAGCTATCCTGCATCACCGTCCAGTAGGTAGTAGTGGTTAGTTGCCGTCACCCCTACTTAATTAAGTAGGCCCCCGCTTAATTAAGTAAGAGTGAGGGCAACTCGGGCAAAAGAAAAAGGACAAACAACAAGAACAAAAGAAAAGCAAAAGAAGAAAGAGCCCTGCCCCCAATCCCTAGGCCCTAGCAGCTTCTTGCTAGCTAAGACAGTACCTTCTAACCTCCCTCCTTTGCGGCCTGCACGGCCTGCTCGCCGAAAAAGAGAGGACATTTTGTGAGACCCCTTTTTCATTATTTTTTTAAGGCAACAAGCTACCGAGGTATCCAGGGAATCCGCAAGCTAAGATTGCCTCGGTGATCGCCACCACCAGTGGCATCATTTTCATCCCTTTCTTGGTGGCCAGATCCGTGGAGCTGTTTCTTAGCGATCAAAAGAAGAAACACATTTATAACTCCTTAGGATGTAGCAAATTTGGAAACTGGGAACAGAGTGTTTACTCGCAGAGTCAGCGCAGAGTTGTCTTTTCAGTTTGCTTCCGAGTCCTTGCACATGTGGCGCTCTTCAGAACGGCGTTCGCTCACCGTTGATCGCAAGAGCTGAGGTTTATGTCAAGTGATGATGTCAATGTCGCAGCCGTTGATCGCTTCTTGCCTGGCCAATCTAGCGGTGTTCCTGTCCAAAAAGGCCAAGGCGGGCCAGGCCGGGTCCAGAAATCCTCCGCCCACTGTGTGACGTCTATGCATGTCTACAACCCTGAAGGAACAGAAACAGGACTTGACATGTGGGTCTCCGTGTTGGAGCAGCTGGATTACTTGGAAGAACAGAACTATCTCCAAGCAGATGAGATGAAGTGACGTGGCTCTTTTTCCGGATACTTTTTTGCATGGCATGTTTGCAATGTGGTTGTCCCGCTGAGAACCTGAGCCATTTGGGCTATATAGACATAACTACTCTGTGCGGTGAAGTGTTTGGTGGTTCAACTTGGCAAGCAAGAGCGGTCAGACTCAGACAAGATCCAGTTGATGTCCGTTCCTACCATTCCCACAACTTTCCAAGAAATGATGCATGTGCACGGACACACCTGTCCCTTTGCATGTTGAAATGCTTGAAACTTGAAACCTTGTTTATGCTGCACTTACATGCATTTTGTCACGGTCCGGACGTTTTTGGCGGATGGTGCGACACAGAACAAAGGCGATTGCGGCAGATGTGTCTTTCAAAGGATGCTGGACTGGGAATTCTGCATCAGCGCTATTGCTGCAAATACCCCATCAATTTAGAGCTCTACGCCTCTCGCCTCCAGGAACTTCTTGAAATGGTCGAAGAGGTCTGCGCTTGAACGACCGGTCGAGTGGAGGAATGCTCTGAAACCACCGGTGGGTCAGGTGGCAGGAAAAGGATGGATGTGTTGGTCGTTTTGTGTGATCCTCACTGGATTATCAACCACACTCCTGGATAATTACATCAAGGGCGGGCCAATCCCGAAGGGAACTTGCACAGAGAGTGGTGCCAACCCATCAGAGCTCAAAAATGCTCAAGTACTCAAGTGTGTAAACCTACAGTACAATTTACTTCAGAGAAATGCCAACTCATGCTTAATGGTGGTAGCCTTGATGCTCAACACACACAGAGATGGTTGGCGCTACTTCTGGGAACAGACCCTTGATAGTTTGTGGAGCGTTCCGCAAACCGGCCCCTGACCGGGATTGATGGAGAAAGAACTTGAAAACTTCACTACACTGTTTTGTCACTTACATTCGCAATTCGTAACGACAATCAACAATTCGTAACGACATGTCAACACAGTGGCAGGAAGTTTTCTAAAGGCCCTGTTTTCCGCGGAGGGATGCACAAGTGACTCCCTGAGTTGCCAGACCCGACCCGCTGAGACGATTTGATGCCCCCGCAAAAAGAGGCAAAGGAGTTCTATTGCCAAGTGACAGGGATGATTTGATACAATTACAATCATGGTCCATTACTATGATCATTATGCACATTATGATAATTAGGCAATATCGTTGCAATTCAATCATACCAATGCGACCGAATCAAGTGCACAGGGTTGCACGAGCTGATCTTGGCTGTGGCAGTATTCTGGTTGTGGTTCTTGGTGTTGCAGCAATGATGGTGAGTATGTTCTTTCAAATAGACGAGTCGTGTCTGGGGACCGTGATGTTGTGCGCCTGTGACCGCGACCTTGATTTTAACCCCGTCTCTGGTCGGCTCCGACACCAGTCGGAGAAGGGCTAGGCCTAGGCAAGATCGTGTTCCAATGTTGTTGAACACTGCGAAGCAGCATTGGATGCACAGGATGCTGCCATCTTTTTGAGGGGAAAAGCCCCTGCAGGTTGATCAAAAGGCGAGGATGCAAGGTCATGCATGCATGTTGTTCAGAGTGAGACATGTTTTTTTGTACTCAGCCATGATAGAGATTGGTGCTGTTAGCGGTGACTCAATGTCCCATTTGCCACAGGCAAGCCTTGCAGCCACTGCGCAGATACGTCTAGGCGTGCACGAGCGAAGTGGGTTTTGTATTGCCACCAGCAAAAGAAGCTCGTGACTGACCTGCCCCATACCTTGTAAATACCTAAAAGATCCCAACAGATATCAATGTACGGCGGACGGGTGCAGTAGTTCTGTCAGTTGATGTTAGTTGTGTAGCTTGAACTTTGCAAGCCAAGTCTATGCCGCCAGGCAATGCCTGCGCTAGGTGACACGCTCAGAGTTTTTTTGGGCATGCTCCGCCGTCTCCGCCCAGAACCTACGGCGCGGTGAGTACATACATGTTTCGTCTCCATACAGTCCATGGACATCAGGAATGTCATTTCCACGCAAACATAAGGGTTTCCCAACCAAGGCCACATTGGGCTTGGAGTCAAATAGGATCGACAACATGGACCCCATGTGCACAAGGAACATAAGGATTGAATAGAACTGACATGAATTGACACGTTTAAAAGATACTGTAATTGGTGTGTTTTGTTCCTTCTTCTCCTGTAACATATAAATATATATATAATTAATATATATATATATTATATATTGTATATTATATATATTATATATGCGAATGGAAGTGCAGCGACACGTACAGTGCAACTTGTACATATATATGTACCATATGTACTTTGGCTCAAGGATCAAGCGACTAGAAAAGGTGCGGTTTCCGTTCCGACGCTACGCCGCTTATGGACCGTCAGTGATAGCTTCAAACTTCGCTGATTAAGATCCACTCGCAGGTTATCAGCCGTACGAGCTCTTTATAGCCGTACGAGCTACACGAGACCAAGAACAAGACTAGTCATTACAGAAACCTGCAATGTCAAGCTCAGGAGGAAATGGAAGCGAACCCTATTCATTCGCCGCTCCTGGTGGTCCCAACACCATTTCGTCACCAGACTCTACAATGGGTACTGATTCATCAGCAAATGCTGACGTTATCACTATGCCTACTGGATCACAAATCTCGGAAAGATCCGTGCCACCGGCTCGGAATCTGACCG